GCGTTGACGTGTTTTCTCGTGAAACGTTCCGCGAAACGAGCATTCCTTACGAAATGGCTGATTAGTCGATACAGTGCCACGGGCGGCACGTGCGTTTCAATGGAACAGCGCATAAGCTGAGAAGCCTTCCGTGATTCCGTGCTCGAAAGTAAAACGTACCTTTTGGCGCGTGTCTTTTGTCGAGCGAAGATAGCATCTCGGTTATCAGAGATTTTGACGAAGAAGATTTTGTACCGCATCGAATTTCACGCGTATGAAGGATTTGGTAGAAATGAAATTTTGATTGTTTGAGTCGTGATTCTATGAAAGAATGAGAAGTAGAAAGTATTTTACGTTAAGATTTCTGTATTTGTATCGTCAATTCGTAGAATGAATTATTTTATAAAATATTAAGATCATATCTATTTAATTATTCGAATTAATATACATTTAAATATTTATTCGATACTCGCAGAGACAAAATCAATTCGTTAATTCAGTCGAAGCAAGTGAATTTGTTAATGAAATGAAATTTCATTAAGGACCATTAATATATATATATATATATATACAATTATCGAGTTAGTTTTCGATGTCACGCTCAATTAATTTTCGCGATTAATTCGAACCCATCTAAATATAAAGTCAAGGACTATTTTTGCCCGTATTCGATACTCGACGATTGTTTGCAGATACCTTGAACGAGCTCGTTCGGCCGTGAAAAATTTGCTTTCAAATGAGAATTACGATCGACGAATTTGCAGAGTCAGTAATCACGGCGAGTTGATAATAGTGAATTCTCAAGGTCACGTCATGGATCGATAGGCCACGTTTAAGAATCGGGTCAATGCGACGATAAAACGAGAATAAAAGAGAAAAAAGAAAGAAAAATATTCTCGACAAGTTTAAAAAGAAACGTCTCGTGGAACAATATTGATCCAATACGCTAAGAATTAAATCTAAAAGTCATAAATATCGCAGCTATTTTCTCGAGAAGTACAGATAATAATTTACCTACTTCATAAAATTTAATAGTTTTGTACATTATTTATGATTTAGGTCACTAGTTTGTCCACAAGAAAATTTCTAAGAATTTTACGTATACATATCCAACTTCACAATTAACACTTACTACTCTTATATCTCTTCCATAAATTATCTTCCATTTGTCCTCAAATTCCAATAATGCCAGAACTCGTAACAATTACGAACGTACATAAATTTAATAGTTAAGCAATTTTATCACCATATATCTCTTCCACCAACCTGTACCTACTCTCTCGTCGCACACCTATGCTCTCTCGCACACGCATTCCGGCTCAAAAATCACGTCAATTATGATCGATTCTCCCGTCCCGTGTTGCAATTGTCCGCAAAAAAAAAAAAAAAAAACGATATATCGAATGATTTCGTATGCCACGCGTTTAATACCATAAACGCGCTCAACGTGCTTTCTCTCCATCTAGGGAGACCCCGCTCGAAAAATATTCCCGCGTATACAAGCGCTTTTCTTTCTCTTCCTTCTCTCTCTCTCTCTCTCTCTCTCTGCTCACTCTCTGCGGCCACAGAGAAGCCCGCGTACACTTGTCGGCCATTTCACGCGAGAGAGACTCCGCGACATTTTCTATTTATTAAATACACGAGCACGCATAACGCTAACGCGGTGTCCACTCGCTTCCGGTGAGAGCACCGACACTTGTTGCAGCTGCGCGCGTGTCTACGCACGTGTGAGCGGCTCACTAATAGCGAGTAGAACGCGCGGGCCCGGTGGGACCGTTTATGGGCATGAAAGTCCCCGATCTCCGCGAACGCCGACCATCTATCGATCGTTGTTGGGCCGCGTAACGCGCCGACAGCCGGCCAAGAAAGCTTTATTACCGGTTCCGCCGATTTTTCGTCAATAACGCGGAGGAGAGTGGAATCGTCGCCATTTTTTTCTTCCTTTCTTTCCTTGCTTCGATGTTTTCGACTTTATTATTATTATTATTATTATTATTATTAATTTGTATTTCTTTTTAGGAAATTGGGTAGATCGAGAGAAAAATAAGTTTCTCGAAGGGAAAGGAGGGAGCACAAGGATATTTCGAACGATGTTTAAATTCCACGTAATCCTCGAATGTTAATACGAAAGCATGGCGAATAAATATTTGAAATAACTTGGAAAAATTAATTTAATTATTGAGTCGATGGAGGATCGATAATACGGGAAATTATTCTCTGGAAATAAAATGAAGGGGATTGAAAGGAGAAAAAAGTAGCAGCAATCAGGGATCAGTCACAATGAATTCAATCGTTCCTCTCCTTTGTGCGATTGTTACGAGTGAGGCGCGTGAATGGATCCGAGTAATTTTCTCTCTTGAGATAGCACGGATTGATCCTCGTGATCTTAATCGGGCGGGCCCTACGGACGAAAGGTGGGGGTTGCGTATAATTGATTTAAGCTTGCAACAAAACGCTTTTAACTCTGATTTGCGAGGCGAATGCGCGTAGCGCCCGTTCTCTCATTGTGTAATTTTGGAACACTTCCTGCTTGAGAAGGCTGAACAATAATCAACGGAGGACATTTCTTTCGGTATGATCTTTACGAGTTCCATGACACCAATCGTGTATATTCACCACGTACAATTCTCGCTTTCACATAAATTTTCTTAAAATTTTTTCCCTCCGTGTGCCAAATAAGAAAAACTCGTCAACAATATGTATAGTAATGGGATTTCGAATATAATTGGAAATCTTCGAGAGCCTTGATAGATTTTGTATATTATGGATTCGTCGTCGGTGTGTATAATTAAATTGTTTTAAGCCTTAAGACAAAAGTGAAAGTGCCAAATGAAACATATACCGTACGAAGTAAATCTAGAATTTTTCAAACTCTTGATTGCTTCGGCTATTATAGTCCCTGTTATCGGCATCGATTAAATTATTTAAATTAACTTGGACATTAGGGGAAATCTTTATCTTTCTTTCTCTTGATAAATTGCACGACTCGAAAGGTAATTCCATCAAGATCGAAGATCGCCTTTCAAAAAAAGAAATTCGTCATCGAATTAAAATAAAAAATCAATCGACTCGGGGATGAATTCAATTATTCAATCTGGAAGGAAGATCGGGCTCGAGAGTTATTTTCCGACGGTCATCGTCGCCGTTCCATCATGGCTGCCAACACTTTCCACGATAATTAACTCGAGTCTTATCCTGGTCACGTGACATTCGTTAGTTGTTATTCCATCCGTACGTACGTCCTCAAACAAATCGTAAGAATAGCACAAGACGGCCGAGGGACCCGCATAACAATGACCATACGCGTTGGAAACGTGTCATAACTCGTTGAATCCCGATAGCTATGGGCCTGCAATTAGTCGATGGTGAAAGAGATTCGAGATAACGAGGCGTAACTCGCCGATGCCATCGCTGTTTGGCGGAATGACGAAACTATGGGTCGTTGGAATTTCAGTTGCCGTGGGGAAATGGTCGAGGATGGAATCATAGTATCGACGCCATTGCATCTGTGCATTGCATGAAAATTCGTGAAAAGGTATTTTTAACATTTCGCGATAACGTATTTTCCACGTATTTTATCCCAACACGCTGTCATTTTACGCGTAATTTCTTATTAAAAAGTAAAATCTTTTACACGATTTGCTAACGTTGTTAAATATAACAGCTTATTCATTTTACAAGTTTTAAAATAATTTCGATATCGATCTTATGCCATCGCTGTTATTTTCGATGGCAATCATAAAAGTCACGCGTTAATATCCGTGGCCAATTGCGGTTATAGAGGTACCGGCGCGGGAATTTTTAATCGTTAATTTAAAATAATATATTAATTGTAGAATAATGAAATTAACAAGGGATCACGAGAGATATTCATCGCGGCTCGTTCTTAAATTCAATATTTTAGTGTAGAATCTAATTGACGTAAATGGAAAGTTGGTTGAAATACGGCCGGCGGTGAATGTGTTAATTAACGCCCAGGCGATATTCGTATAAAGGCGATACCGCTAGGAAATTTAATTTTTTCCTCTTAATGATTTTCAAGAAAGAGCGAAAGATTTTTAATTTTATTCCCCGATGTACATTCCCTGCTTTCTACTTTCGAATAAAGGAACGTATTTTAAATTCTCTTTCTTCAACTCGCATTTAAACAATAATGTTCAATCTCCCGATACCTTTCTCTATAATACGAATTTTACGGACTGTCCTCGCGCAACATTCGACAGAGGAATCGGCCGTGTATGCGAGCCCATTGCATATCCGCGCAATCAACGGAGTTGCAAACGTTTCTTTTCCAACAAAAACGTACAATCGTCCGAAATTATTTTTGAACAGACTGTTATCAGCAACCTGTTATCTCTCGACGGCGTAGAAACAGCTATTCGAGAAGAATATAACACTTTGCGATACGAATTCACGCTCTGGAAGATCCGAGATAAACGTCAAATATTTGACATTCCCGCGGCACTCGGAGAATCATGAGATTGCTCAGGTGACGCGCGAGGAACGCCTCGGATGACGAATCCTTTCGGAAGCCGGAGCGACAAAGCGACTTTCCCAAAATTTCGAGAGAGACATCGTTCAAACAGATAATCCGGAAGTTCAGAGGAAGGGATCCTTGAAAAAGGATCCACCCCCTGGCCCGTAAACGTTAAGATTCTTAGAACCGCGTTTTAGGTAGAGAAACCCTCGTGGCGGCATCCACTTTATCGTAATATTCCCGATCTCGACTCTAGTAGTTTCCCTTTGAAAAATTTCTCTACCGATAAAGGATCTCTTGAAAAGGATCTCATTCGAGCAACGAAAATATTCTGGAAGGAAGGAGCAAGGAAATATGCGAAAGATACACGAGGAGAAATTTAACCCAAGATAACCAGCGATATTGCCACAATGCCGTAGAACACGTTTCCTTCCAATTTATTTTGGAAAATTACGACGTATCCCTTCGACCGTTTCTTTTAAATCGATCTATAAGTTTGTTTATTTATCCATTCGAAGGATGTGAAAAAGAAATTATTACTTACACTTTTGCTGTGACTAGTGCTGTGCGTATGGTGAGTGTCGATCTTCATATTGGCGCATCGATTAAGAGCGTGCAATCGTCGAAACAGACTCTGCAGGGAATCAGTCTCGAGGAAGGGGTGGTCCTTGGCTACGCCAGATACGTCTATCGGGAATTGGTAATCTGGAAGAGGCAGAAAAGAAACGTTAACAAATTCGCGATTGATTTAAATTCTAATTTAAAGGATTCGAATAAGATAATTTGCACATTGGAAAAAAGAAAAAGAAAGGAAAGAAACACGCGCACTTTCAACGCGATTTTAATCGAAAATATTAAGATCCTTTTATTAATCATCGAAACGATCTCATAATTCTCGTGTCGAGAAACCTGTGTTTATCGTTCTACGTGTACCTCGGTCTAATCGAAGTAATGGCCAGTAGAATCAATTAAAACCACGCGTACCCTTCTTCGTCTCTAATTGAATTTAAACGAGTCGCCCCCTCGGAAAAATAGAAGAGCATCTACGGGCCGGGACAATGGTTGCGGCCAGCATTTTATGGGCCCATCGAGTTTACGAGGAGATTAATGCCCGCAAGCTAAATGGACACTGGCCAGGCCCCCATTCAAGATTCTTCGTTTCTGCTGTGTCCAATACATTGTGCCTGCGTGTTCGAAAGTCGATCGTTCCTTTTTTTTTTTTCGCCAGTGATTCGCAAGTTCCAATCGTTTGATTAATGATCCGGGTGTAAATTACACCCCGGGGAGCTGGCTGTCGAACTTTCCACGCCGCTGTTTCGAACCTAATTTGCCGTCTAATTACGTTACGAATCGATCGATAATCTCTCGAAAATGGATAAACAGGTGTACAGCTTTTCTTTTCTCTAAAAAAAATTTCGACTTGCAAAACGATTCGAAAAATTCTATCTTTTTGATGAGATAATATTCTTTACCTTTATTTACAAAAATTCGAATATATTCGACTCTATCAACAAACAGACATAAAATTTCAAATTTTCCAATTAGAAAAGATCCAACAAACTTTCAACAAACAAACGAAACTTTTTCTCTAAAAATAGAAAAGTAACTCTCTAATGAAAACGATTCTTGCCATTCTAACCGCAAGTTTCTGGTTGCACGAACAATATCCCAAACCTTCCACCGGACAACCGTGTTTCTCCTTACAGGTAAATTCGAGGAAAGGCAAGATACGTGGATAAGTATCGCCGAAAACCGTAAAGAATCGTACTCTGGTGAGGCGAGGGAGAAAGAGAGAGGAGGGGGGGGGGGAAAGGAGGCTTTTGTGCGACTCCTTTTTTTTCTTCTTTTCCTCGAGATCCAGCTCGCGAAGCGTCGATATGTTTCGCCGTACCGTTATTTTATCCCTTATCGGCTTTCACCCGAAATTTCGTGCAGTCTCGAGGCGCAGGTGACATTATTCTTTCGTTCTCACAGCGGCCATCCGTCTCTGTCCCCTTTTGTCTCGAGACAACAGTGAATATACAGTCGCGGATGCCGCGTCGAAACTTCGGATGGCCTCCATAGCGGCTTGCGCAACGACGACCCAGATCTTTTGAACCAGATCTCGGATCTATGATCTCTCGGCTAGTCGATCGAGGCGATTCATTAACCGGAATAATACAGTTTCTTTCGATCGATGAAGCGATTTTTCCGCTTCTTTTCTTTCTCCTGCAAAATTGAAGAGGAACAAGAAATCTCTAAGCTCGTTTCATTACTGAAATAATTGAAAGAATATTTTTATCGATTATTAAATACGTATATAAACTTCTTTTTCTATTTCAATTATTACATTATATTTTTTCCTCAGATATCTATCTATTTTTCTCTTTAAATCAATTACTGTAATGAATAAATGTTTTAAATAAATTCTCTAAGCCTGGTCATGGATAGTAAAAAATAATAGAATACATTACATGTATTATAAAATTTGCAATTAAATTTCGTTCACAAATTGTATTATTTACGATTCTAATTTTTTTCTTTACGAAAGATCGTAATATTATAACACAATTTTGAGAGGTAAAACATTATATGAAAATTTTTAGTGGACGATGATCAAACGTGTTACAATTTGACGAAGGTGAAATCTTTTTCGAGAACGATACGATACGAAATATCGCGCACAATCACTTGCCACGAAGGATGAAGGATAGCTGGAAGTAGAGGAGGGGCAAATAAATTTGTTTCTTTCAATTGGATACACCGTTCGAAAGGTTCTAAGAAACGCGAAGAAGAATGAAATCTCCTTGTTAAAACCAGAGAAATTTCGAGAAATTAACCAGGAGAAATCTGTAGGAGACTTTTTCCATCGTTTATCACATTAGAGAGTATTTCGTACTTCCGCGTTTTAAATCCTAGTGATTTCTCGGAAGTTAATTATCTGGTAACATCCATGGTAACATTTGTACACAATAAGAGAACGTTTGAAAGAATTACCGCAGAATTATACGTCGTTAATTTTAAACGATTGCCGTGTAAAGCGAGGATAAGTTGTTATTAGACGAGCATCTGGATCCTCGGGTGATCAAAACATTAAACTTCATTATTCGAAAATTTAATAGAGTCCACTCTATCTCGTTTCACCGCTTCGCTCATCCACCTTGATTTTATTACAATTATGACGTCGACGTGTAACGGTACTTTCTCCACAAAAGTCTCGCCACTCATGGTGGGTTTAATAGCAATGGCCTCGCTCTCCTATTCGTCTCCCCCTCTCCCCCTCACCCCCTACCCCGCGATAATCAGGAAATTTAAACTACGCTACGTGGACGTGACGTAAACGGGATTTACATACGCCCTGGAACCACTTTCGATGAACTCATTAATATGAAAACCCTTCCCGAGATCGGTATCCACTTTCTCTGTGATAAATGATTCAACAGTTGGGATCACCCTCTCGAACGAGGTGAACACGAAAGTGTTTTAATAAAGGAACGTGTCCTGCTCCCCCTCCCCTTGACTAATTTTTTTTTTCTAGGAAACTATCGAAACATCCCTTCACAACCATTCCTCAAATCTCGATTCTCTGAACATCTCTAAAAGATACGCGCGTTATTTACAACTTTCGAGGAGCAAGAAGAAGAAGAGGAGGAGGAGGAGAGAACACTTTTAACGTCCACTTTCTAACTGAATAAATCAATCGGTTAGATCGGTTAACGATTAACCGGTATCGACTTGTTACGACGGTAATCTGCTTTTTCAATTCTCCACGCGATCACGGTGGTGGTGGTGGTGGTGGTGTTGGATTAAAGTAAGGATAAACGAGGCGCATCGTGATCATAACGAAATCGTTGGCCAAGACTAACTCTTGGTGCACGATCGATAGATTAACGTTAACGATTGCTCGATTACGCTCCCGCTTCCTGGATGTACTAATTGCCGGCCATTCTGCGAAGGAAACCTCTCGTTGCCGTTCACCGCCTCGCCTGACGTATCAATTAGCATCCGCGGCCGCTCGGTTTCCCTCGCTCACTCCCGGCTGTTATTAGTGCGATCGATAACTCGAATAAGCGGTCGATTTCGACGATGATCGACGAAATACGATGGAAGGGATCGATCTTGCGATCTGTATGCAATCTTAGTGGGTAATTTTAAAGATGGAAAATTTTTAACAAAGACGAAGAGTTTTTGAGAAGAGTATATCGAAAAATTGTTCTATGATATTATAACTAACAATCGAATTTCGTTCCAACGTATTATTAAGAATGAAACAGGCATCCCGTTGGCCGTGAGTTTGATTCGACGAGTGTGAGAGGCACGAACGTAAGTGAACGTAACACTTACATCAACACGAGCATCATCGTAAAATATTCTCTTTCCTTTCGCGCGTAAAACACTCCTCGAATTAAAGTTGTCTAGACTTGTGGAACACCGATTCGCCAGGTGCGACACCAACGTGCCTCGAAAACAGATACCAGAAAGAGAGAACGAATCTTTGATTTCCTGTTACTTTGCGCAACAGGAGATAATCGTCCCAACGTTTATCTTATTTATTTTTTTCTCATCGAACAAATATTCGGCACACTTCGGACATACTTCCCCCACCTGCGAGAGAACGCCTCTCCAAAAGGAAAAGAAATATCGACTAAGTCGATTGCGTAGATTCTTTTTTTCGTCACGTGATCGAGCGAGATTCAATGAACACGAGCCATAAACGCGCGTATGACGTCAACGCTGCTCCGCGAGAATTTTTCTCATCGATCGTGTCGTGAATCATGGATCGTTCGACGCATTTTATTGAGAGAATCGTTGAGATGGTAACTTAATTAACTTCTGCCCCGATCCTTCTCGCGAGTTGCACGCGCGATCGGGAGAAGTGGGTCATCGCGCAGCGGGGATGATCGATATATAAATCTTCGGTAAGCCGAGTTATTTGGGAAGGCCTTCTGCGTGTCCCTCGATCTTTTTAGATCTCTCCTTCCTTTAAGAATCGTTTATCGGAACGATCTGGATCCGAATTGGGAAATTTCTTTTTCAAATTTCTTCTTTTTTTTTTTTTTTTGTCGTAAATGTTAAATTCCTTTAAGACGGGGAATAGAAATGTAAATGGAGGCGAGTTTGATCGTGTTTGATCACGTTGAAATATCGTGTAAATCGTTTTATTTCTCGCTAAAAATCGATTGATTTTTTTTCCCAAAGGCACAGGTTTTGGAACAGGTTCCGAAGGAATTCGAGATAATAACTCGGGGGAACAAGAAATTCAATGTTTGCGCACGCGTTTCAATGGTTTTTCAAATATATTCGAGAGCACGCGCGATTATGCTAAATATAATGGTTGCGGGGTTTTATTTCTAGGAAGAAGGTTAAAAAATGGTACGGCTAAAGATAGATAGCAGCAGCCGATAAAAATTGTACGCTCGCGATTTCGTATGCAAAGAGTTTTACGAGCGGGGAAAGAAATTCCGTTACGCTTGATTGGAGCGGAGACGAGACTTCTTCCGAGGCGCAGAGCAGAGTCTGTGGAATAACGTTTGGAAAAAGGGACAAATGCAAACGCGTATTGCGTGGAACATGTGATCAAACACAGGAAAACCATCGAAATCGAAACTCATTTCTAAATAGCAGATCGAATGCGTCCTCTCATCTCCCCGAATCTTGTAACTCGATTCTTCGACAAACCATCGTTTGATGGTATCGTTTTGCTTGTCCGACTTTTTTAAATCGAA